CGAAAAGGAAGGGGCCCAACGGGTCCCCCTGTCTCGACCCCCGTGCAGAGACCAGTGTCTCCACAAAAGGGCCCGCCCTCAGGTAGAGGTCGCTGGGCGACCCATAGAAGACACGCAGGAACGGGATGAGACCTGAAAAAGGCGAGTCTCGCAAGCCCTCGAACATCGCACGCCGATGGAATGAGTTAAAAGCGTTTGCGACATCTATCTGCAGCGCACACCAGTCAGGGTGGGTCGCCAGGGACGAGCGAAAAGCGTGGGTGAGTATCTCAACTCCCGCCCTGGTCCCCGCCCCCAGCTGGTTGCATGGTAGGAAGTGTGAGGCCATGGCTGGGCGAAGTGTGATGCAGAGTGCCCGTGCAAGAATGCGCGGCAACACCTCTCCGATAGCGACCGGTCTCACGTCGCCTTTGGGTTTGGAGAGCCCAACCAAGTTTGACGCCGCAAGCCAGGGTCGAACACGCTCAGGGACCTCGCCCGCCACCCATTGATTGAACACCTCCATGAGATGGGCAAGGTAGGAGGGTTCGGTGAGGAAAGTGTTGCGCAGATGCTCCGTGACCCAACCCGACGGACCCGCTGCCGACGCACGAGCGGCTGTGTGAATGGCTCTGGCTAAAGTGTCACAGGTGAGTGTCACGGCCAATTTTTCATAGTTTAGTCATACGAGGGTACAGCTCAGATGACAGTACCTGATGCGTACTGTACATTGAGTGTGTCCCTCGAAGCGCTTGCTGCAAGTTCCCTGACACGCTCAACATAGTACAGTAAAATTGCCGGGCGAAAATGCCAGGGTTACAGGCGTTTGCTGGAAATTTTGCATATCCCTAAATTGGCGATGGTGTTTGCGATAGTTGCGACCAAAACCGTGTTACTTGTTTCTGCAGTTGACAAGGTACACGAGCCGCTGGACGTATTTCCGTTGGATGGCATACGAGCCTCTCACGTACAGCTGAAAGTTTCGAATCCGTTCACATTTTTTAACGGTTCCGCGTCAATTGTCGCATATCACTATTTGTATCTGTTACAAGACAGAAACGGGTAACTGAAGTGGAAAAAAATAACGGAAACTGTACATGTTCATTTAAACCTGACGCGCCCAGCCCTCCTCCAGCCCAAAATTCAGCCAGCTGGTCTTTCAGATCTGTCAGATTCGTGAAAGCTAGAGACGGGACCTAGGAAGCTCATTGCTCCATGCAGGAGCGAGGAGCCTGGGTGCTCGGAAACCGCGGCTCGAATGGGTTCTACTCACGGGGAATGTGTGAAGCCTAACGTGCCCTACCTACCCTACCTTATCCCATCTCACACGACCATATCCCACTGACCTGGGAAGCTAAGGAACTCACTTCCATTACTGCCATTTCTCATTTCGCATTTCTCATCTCTGCCATTTCTCCTCGACGTCGGCCTTCGAGTTCTTCCTTTCCCCGTGTTTCGTCAGAAGGATAGTTTGTTAGCTGGGAAGTTATAGTTTCCGTTGAAGTCACCTTGGTTTCGTAGTAGGCCGAAGTAGTCACTATCGTGCTTTCCCGTCGACCTATATCATTTACGATGTCTGACGAGTCTCCGATCCGACGTTTATCCGGCGGGCGACTTGCTTGCCAAGATCCTGCACCTAGGTGTTCGACCCGACGAGTTTCAGAATGCTCTGGTGTGCACAGGGTGGCGTGAAGATATCGCGTTCAGGACGTCCTTCACGTGTCCGCTCGACGTCGCATGAATCCTCGCCAACTGCTTGCTCAGCTCGCGGCATTTCGTAGGCTGAAGAAACTCGTCCTTTTAGACGATAGTTTGCTTGTCGTCCCGGACGCTTTCCTCGCTGGCCTTGCCGAATCGCATCACGATTTAGTTTATCTTCACATCTGCGCGATGAAGGAGAGGTTCGAACGCGGCAATGCTTTCACTACGAATGGACTTTCACGCCTTTTATTGGGTTGCACCCGACTGGAGGATCTGCGGTTCGTTTGTCCGTCGGGTGTCCGTACCATTCCACCTTCTACCAGCAACCAATCTCGTCTTAGAAGACTTTCTCTCACAGCCCATAGGATTCAGCATCTTCCTGACGCTATCACCTCATTGCAGTTGCTAGAGAGCTGAGCGATCTACCACAGAACTTCGGTAGTCTCGTCTCTCTGAAGTCATTGCAGCTGGAACGCGTTCGCTCTTTTTGCTCACTCCCAACATTCGTTCAGCAGCTCGCTAATCTGCACCGACTTTCCATCCAAGACTCCGGGAAATTTCAATTACCGGGTAGTCTCTCCAACCTTTGACGACTGAAGGAGCTCGAGTTAAGAGATTATGCGGATCTTTTGCCTCTGCCTGAGGATTTTGGAAGACTTCCGGCGCTGGAAAACCTAAGCCTCCTGAATGTTAAGGGAATCACGGAGCTTCCAGAGACCGTTGGGCTGCTGCAGCAACTGCAAATTCTTACCGTCAGGGGCTACTCTGCTAATTTCTTGTCGCTGCCCCGGTCCTTGCTTAATGCGTCATCCCTCATGAGACTTGACTTGAAGGTTGATCTTCTTTCAGACCTGCCAGATGACATTGGCCGATTATCAAAGCTTCAATTCGTCAAGCTGGCGAGCTTCTGTACTGCCTCGCTCCCAATGGTCATCCAAGAATTTCTTCCCTGCCCGATGACTTCGGGCAGCTGACTGCTTTGAAGATTCTGCATTTGTCCAGCCTTCAAGATCTCAGTCACTCACCAGATCCCTCGGACGTTTGCTGAAATTGTTGGAGCTGAAGATTTCTTTCTGTGATCAGCTGCATCAGCTACCCAACTCTCTTACCCAGATATCTTCTCTTCGGATACTAAGAGTTGAGTATTGCCCGGAGCTAACTGCTGTAACAGTGGGCATGGGGGATGGGATGTGCCATCTTTGTGAGCTGCGTTTAGTTTGCAAAAGTCTAATCCACGTCCCTGCATCCTTCTCCCGCTTGTCGTCACTTGAAGTTTTGGGCATCGGATACAGCGAGTGCTTTAGAGGTTGCTTGTCCGAGAGCTTCAACAGCTTTACACGCCTTAGGCACCTCTCTTTATCTTCCATCCCGAATCTAACTTCCCGTCCTACCTCGCTCTCCAGATTGTCTCTCACCCTTACAAGCCTGGAAGTGTATAGTTGCGAGGAGATTGGGCAGTTGGTAATGCTTGAAACACTTGAGCTGTCCGGTTTAGATGGTTTGGAATCTCTACCTCGGTCGTTGTTGAAGCTGCCTCGATTGAAGTACCTTGGGATTAGTGACTGCATGAGCCTGGGCAAAAGGAGCACTATCGAAACCTTGGTTGGCGGGAGCAGTGGCGGCAGCGGCAGCACTTCCGAGTGTGTTGAAGCAAACGTGCTTCCGTCGCTGCAAGAGATATCCATTACAAATGTTGTTTCCGAAGCACTTGATCCAACCTTGGGTTGTGTGTTTTCGTTGAAGACACTGTTGCTGTCGGAGATGCCTGCACTTCGTGCAATTCCTGCTTCTTTTTCTCAGATGTCCAACCTGCACGACTTGAAAATCTGTGATGCTGTGTGCCTTGAAGCACTACCGGAAGCAGTGGGCCGACTCTCGCAACCTCTTCAACTGTGTGAATTAGAAAGCTTGCGGGAGCTTCCCAAGTCGTTTGGACAGCTGAAGAAGCTAAGGTCACTCTACATCCATGGTTGCCCAGAGTTATACGAGCTTCCAGAGTCGTTTTCCAGATTGCCCAACATAAGCTTTTGCTCGCTCAGCGATTGCCCGGAATTGTCATTCCTTCCACAAGACTTTGGAAACCTGTGTTCCCTCCAGGAGCTTGAGCTGTTTTAACTGCCTAGTCTCCTTAGGCTCCCTGATTCTTTTCAGGACCTAATTCGGTTGAAGCGGCTGCAAGTGGATAATTGTGAGCAGCTGGCCCAGCTGCCACCCTCTCCACAACCTGCCGATGCTACAGGAGTGCACGATTATTGACTACCCTTTGATTTCGGACGGACATGAGACGATTTTTGGGAGGGCGTATCGCACTGATTGAATCACGCAGGTTATAAGGGGTGCAGGGAGAGGAAGTGGAATGGAGGGAGCTGTTGATATGATGGTGAAGGAGTAGAAGGAGGGATATGTGCCTTGGAGGAGGGGGTGATCTGCATAAGATATGGATGCCAGCCTTTTCTTGCTATCGTGTGTGCTACTTAGGAGATTATGGGCTTGGATTCATATAGATCTGCTACCGGGGCTGAATCTAGTGCCCATGTAAATGTGCTTCTAGAATATTTCATGGTGCAAGAAAAAGGCGATATCATGCACATTGTTTTTTCTTTTGAGAGCACTCTTCTTATATTGCATACATCCATTACTGAACTACACCCTGACACCAGCCACCTGGGCACCCAACATGACGTACTAATATGTATATTACCTCGTCTTGCCTCGCGTGTGCCTCACAGCGTTGTTTGCTATCCAGACAGGCGTGCCCCTTTACTCTGCTTGTTGAGAATGACTCTGGATTCTGTACAGGTTTTACCGTAAACGACGTAAGTTGGTCGGATCTACTGTACCAGCCCTCCCCTTCGACTGTCTCCGTAACCACAGGTTGCATCGCATTGCCCCTAGCTGTCGTTGTTCCTCTCCTCTCCCCTCGCCATATCTCTCGTAACCCCCCAAGAATCCGACCGACCCTCGTCGTATCTCTCTCTCGGTCTTGTCTGGCGAGATCCACCATTCATTGGAGGAGAAGTACCAATTCACGCTCCTGGAGAGTTGAATCTCAGTTTGTGCTGGGAATGTGAGTCTAGAATTTTGACACGCTTTCCTCGCCGTACGATGGCCAGTGCTTCTGAATCTGGCGGTTCCAAGTCCATTTCTCACTACCCCTCCCTCCCGTCCCTCCCGCCCTTCCTCCAGTCGCCTAGTCACTCGATTTCTCCGCAGTGGCTCTTATATTCGCCATCTGGGCCGTCTTTATTTTCCGCGCCATTCACCCCCGCCGATCCCGCTCACCGACGCTGGCGTCACCAGCCCGCGCGTCCGGCTCTCAGATGGCCGCCACGTGGTGTACCATTAGACGGGCGCGGCTGCTGACGTGGCCAAGTACCAGGTGTTGGTGGTGCACGCGTGGCAGATGTGCCGCCTGAGCATGCTGCCCAACATCACGCAGGTGGGAGACGTGTCCTTTTTCTGGGTCGTGACGTGTCCACTGTCTGTGATGACGTGTCCAGTGCATCAGGACGGGGTACATTTTCATTACACCCATCCCCACCCATCCGCACCCCTCTCCACCCCTCCCCACATCTCCCCACCCCAAGAGTTCCTGGAAGCCAACAGCATTCGCCTGGTGAGCTACGACCACGCGGGGTATGCCAGAGCTACCCCAACCCAGAGCGCACACTGCAGCCAGCCTAGCATCACTTATCCCTCCACTCCACCCTCCTCACCCCTCCCCACCCGTCCCCACCCGTCCCCACCTGTTCCACCCTTCCCCACCCGTCCCCACCCGTCCCCACCATCCCAACCCATCTCCACCCCAGGAGTTCCTGGAAGTCAATGGCACTCGCCTGGTGAGCTACGACCACCCGGGGTATGGCCGAGCTACCCCAACCCGAAGCGCACACTGCAGAGTGACGTGTGGGATGCGGGGGAGGTGGGCACGGGCGTGGGGCTGGGGAGAGGTTCTGTCTTATCGCAACCTCCATGGGGGCTCACGTGGCACTGGGGGCGCTCCGTTACCTGCCGCACCTGTGAGTGCAGGGTGGGGGTGAGATACCTGACCCACAGGTGAGGGGGAGGGGCGAGGTGGCCATCACGCATCATCACATCACATCACACATCATCCCATCATGAATCATCGCATCATGCATCATCACATCATGCATTGGGTTGGCACTTCAGCCTGGAAATTTCAAACGCCAAGAGCCTAAAGGGATGCCCAGGCATTGGGTTGGCACTGCAGCAGCTACGGAAGCTGAAGTTAATTGATGCAAACTCGCTGACTGAGCTGCCAGCATCGATCACCAAGCTCCAGCACCTAACATCCTTGATGATCCATGCAGCAATCCTTGATGATTTATGCAGCCAAGCTAACTACGCTTCCTGATTCCATCAGTGCTTTATCCAGGCTGCAGAAACTCAGCTTCTCTGAATGTGCTGTCTTGGAGCACCTTCCTTCATCTCTTACCCAATCGTCTTGCCTCCGTACGCTGGATTTGCACGGCACGTCGATCCGTTCGCTTCCTCCCAACTTCGTGTGCCTGGCTAGATCTGTTTGGTTGCAAGCAGCCATGCACTGCCAAAGGATGTGACTGAGCTGAAAATGCTGCATGACTTCAGCATTGGAATTAGCAGGCACCTCGTTGATGTATGGCTTGAGTATAGATTATCATCTCTGGTACTAGGTTGTGATTCTAGTGCTTATATTAAGACAAGACTCTCCAAGGAGTCTGCAGAGCAGTCGTCATAGAGCAGAGCAGTCGTCATATTTCAGATCTCAAGAATACAGCACACTAGATTGCAAATTACAAAGATAATGAGGATATAACGAGACGAAAATAACTACCACTGGTATAGATACGAGGCTAACGAGGCTACTAACTAGCGTAAGGGCGGGAGGGTGGGTTCTAGATTCAGATCTAGAAATGATTCGACTAGGTGGCAGGTCTGTGGACCTGCCACGAGATAAGGAGCAGATGACTCCTTACTGCATAATCCTTTACAAGTCTTGTCATAATCTTTAAATTTTGAAAATTGTATTTAAAAATTTTACATATTAAGACAAGACTCTCCAAGGAGTCTGCAGAGCAGTCGTCATAGGAGATAAGAGACATTAGGTGCGTCGGGAGCAAGGCTCTAGAACTCAGGGTTTTACCTTAGTAGGGAAGGACGGAATGGAATGGAGGAACTATATACCCTCACCTACTATTGTGGGGGAGGTTCCCAAGAAGAGAACAATGAAAGAAGTATCAGATGCGCGTAAGAATCGAGTGAGCAATAAGTTGCACAGTGATTGTCGCAAGAAATCGTCAGTAGCGATGAGGCGCCATCCATCTCGTAAGAGAACCTAAATAAAACCCTTTGGCAGTCGTTCGAGGATGTTAGTCGTTTATCCGACGACCGAGCACGTAAGTGATGAAGTCGGGAAGTTATGGTAGCTAACCATAGTTGTTGAATTGAGCATAATGTCAACATTGTGCAATAACATCACGTCACTTCGATGTAGGGCGGGCCTTTCGCAGCATGACTACATGACTAAGTCGTATTTACCGTAGATCACGGTCGATGACGTATTGCTCACGTTAACATGTTGATGCACTGGTTGCATGGTATGCAAACGATGTTGCCTCGAGTATTAAGGCTGAAGACTAGTGGCATGTTGCTGCAAAGGAGTTGTGAAGCACATACCAAACTTTGACGCATTTCCAATGTGTACAATGCATACAGCTTGTGTAACCAGCTTACAATCCGGTGCCCTTGATAGGGCATTCGTTGTCAATTAACAACAAAACATGCAGTATCGAATTTAGCGCCTCTGTAAATACGGTAGCACTATGTGTTCAAGGTTCAATAGATGCAGGAGCCATGAAAAGGGGAACCAACGGTTAGTACGCAATGGAAAAACCATGCTATACGATATGGGAAATTTTATGAAACGTGAGCCATTACGACATGGAATATCATCAGTGAAGTGGGTGTGTGAGGGCAAGCAACCCGCCTCTCGACGAGATCCACCTTTTGTATAGACCAAAAGGTCCGAATCACATCAGCTATAAGGTTAGATGTGCGCATAGAAGCGACAACCAACCAAATATTTCCAATCCATCCTCCAGCATTATGCTCGTAACGTGCATGCTCAAGACACGAGTTTGTGTTAACAAAAGTGCAATGATGTTGACAGATCGCACGCCAGATCGATATCCTTCCCCTTTTGGTGGTGTGACTTCATAAAAAGACGAAAGACTTCAAGGTGAGGGGCTGTGAAATGGTCAATCCAAATGGGGTATACACGTCACAACGAGTCCGAAGAAATCAAGTACGTGTGCGCTATCCACATGGACTTTCATGTCCTGGTGGGTTTTTCTACAATGAATGTTCATGTATGATATGTGAATGTAAGAGGATCCTTGTGCATGTATCCAAGCGTGCTGTAAAAAAAAACGGCTTGTGGCTCCCAACAAGAGCCTTCAATTAGCACATGGATATGGTCACACCAAGACGCTGGCAAGGCTTGTCATACCGCGAAAGACTATGTCGTATACAGGAAATTGCTCCGAAATGCAGACCTTGCTAAAACCGAAAGCTGAAAATCAGGGATTGAACATAAAAACGTTGAAAGTTCGACAATGATGACGCGTTTACGATAGGTCTCAAGGCGATGAGAATAGTTTTTTTTTTTTTTTTTTTTTTTTGGAGTCGACAACTTTCTGTATAGCGCCAACTGAATGACAACAAGTACTCGACAATTGCGTAAACGATGTGCGCGTTTGCGTCACAGTCAGCCGAATCACTTCAGCGCCATAATTATGAGGAGTGGTGGTACGTCCGAGCGATAGCTTAGGAAGGGAGTGTTACCATTTACGGAAAAACACATCATAATGTTGAAATGGCAGCAAGGGTTGAATTGAACTCGACCACGTAGTTTTGGCAATTTCTGCATTAAGGCGCCGAATAATTGAGAGATATGGTACCGTAGATGGCAAAATTACTTTGGAAATGCCTCATTATCACGGCCCTCAGGGTACCCGTACCCCCCCCCCCCCCCCCCCCCGCCCCCCCCCCCTTTTTTTTTTTTTTGTTTCCTTTTTTTTTTCTCGTTTTTGGATGCACGGTGATATCACCAGTTTTCAGCGTAAGTACGCATATGCTCGACAACAAAGTCGACACTATTGTCCAACCATTGCAAGTTTGCGATTTAGCCAGCAGAAAAATCCATCGCCGTAATTGAAACGGGTGTGCGTGAGAAGAAACGAGGAATGAAATGACTAAGTGAAAGTTGGGTACAAAAAGCAAACCCTAGAAAACTGTACCCCATATGTGCTACCCCACTATAGCCTACAGTAGCTATGTCATATAAATCTGACACACCCCCATAGGCAAAGTGGGGGAGAACAAGGGGTCACAAGACCAGTCAAGCAAAGCAAAGCAAGCTCAGGGTGGATCACAAAGTCACCACACATTCCGAGCACAAGTTCAAGGCCACAAGGCCAGTTCACATGCAAGATTACATATATATATAAGGCTAGACAAGCAAGAGCAGGTGTATATATATATGCAACAGTACAAACAAGGTCAAGGGGTGAGCAAGTGAGGCAAGGCAGGCACAAGACCCAGCTGAGTACAGAAGCGCTGATGATCACAAGGCGCAAGTGCCTTGGTGAAGATATCAGCAGTGTTGGCCTGAGAGGCCACGTACGCAAGCCGCAGCTGACCACGCTGCTGTAGCTCACGAGCAAGGAAGTAGCGGAGAGCAATGTGCTTCGTTCTGTGCTCCAGTCTCTGCTCTCGACACAAGGCCAGCATGGCCTTGTTGTCTACGTACAGCACTGGAGGAGAACGAGGCGGCTCTCCGAGGTCAGTCAGCAGGTAGGTGAGCCAGCAAAGCTCCTGTACAGCCATGGCCCCGGCGTAGATCTCAGCCTCACAACTGGAGCCGAGAACAGAAGACGAGCGGGTAGCCCGCCACGAAACAGAGCCGGAACCAAGGCTGAAGGTGTAACCCTGTGACGACCGCTGCGTAGCCTGGTCGTCAGCCCAAGAAGCGTCTGCGTGCCCAGTGAGGACCACTGGACTCTGCCCTCCAAGCACAAGCCCCATGCCCGACGTACTGCACAAGTAACGCAACACCCTCTTCGCTGCAGCCATGTGCTCCGGTCTGTGTCTCCCAGGAGCAACATAGCGTGCGAGAATGCTAAGAGGGTATGCGAGGTCAGGTCGTGTGCAGGTCATCAGGTACATGAGGCAGCCAACAAGCTCTGGGTACGGGCCACTCGACTCTACGGACTCATCCGAAGGCAGAGCTGAGAGCGAGTGGCGAGTAGGCAGAGGAGTGGCCTGAGGTGAGGAGTACGTGAAGCCGAAGCGCTGAAGGACCTGCTGCACCATGTGTGACTGAGTCAGGGTAATGGTGCGGCGTGCTCTGTCCCGGGTGATCTGCAAGCCAAGGTAGCTGCGCAGTTCACCCAGGTCTGTGCACGTGTGTCTCTTCTGCAACTCGGACTTCACGTGGGCGAGTCCAGCAGTGTCAGCTGTGGCAAAGACCAAGTCGTCGACGTACACGAGGATGTAGAACGGCTGCAAAGAAGTGTCGGTGCGCAGAAACAACGACGGGTCGGCAGTAGAGGGAGCAAACCCAAGAGCCGCAAGTGTAGTCCTCAGTGTGTCGTGCCACTCACGCGGTGCCTGGCGGAGACCGTAGACTGGCCGCCGGAGGCTCCACTGGGTGCCAGGAGGAAAAGACCCAGTGAAGCCAGGTGGGCGACGCAGCCAGATCTCCTCGTGCAGGCTGCCCTGCAAGAAAGCAGTGCTGAAGTCAAGAGAGTGCAGCTCGTAGTCGCGGTGAGCAGCTATGTGCAGCAGTACCCGAAGACTGGTCATCTTCGGGGTGGGAGAGAAGGTCTGAAAGTAGTCAACTCCCTGCCGCTGACTGAAGCCACGAGCTACGTAACGCGCCTTGAAGACAGGCGGAGAACCCGGCGGTCGCTTCACCCTGAAAATCCACATGCCACTGACGATGTTCGCCCCAGGCGGGGGAACCTCGTCAACGTAGGTGCCTGTGGACTTCCAGGAAGC